GTCCGGGGCAAACCTCCCCGCCTCCCCCCCCCCCCGCATTTTATGGCCCATGTGACCAGGACCATAATTGGTTTTATGCTCCTGTGCAGGGGACCACAAGGTCAGGTATTCTATTTCCCCAACCCTAGTTACACTGTTTTTGGCCCTTGTGGAACCTTGAGTAACCAGGTGTGGCTTGGACATGTATCAATGCCCTATCAAAGCATCTGTGCAGACGCAACTTTAGGATTGAAAATGTGATATAAATTTAATTGTCATGTCTAGATCTGCTTAGAATTTGCTCCTCAGCTTTACAATACCAGCAACTCTATAATGTGTCCCTAATAGACTCATTTGAGTTTAGCCGCTCTTTATCAATGATGTTTATTTCTATAGTGGGGCTTTTTCTGTTGTAATGTTCTTGGAACTTCCTCTACACAATGGCTCACTTGGCACCACTGCTTTAAGTGCCAGATGAAAACTCTCTTTTTTCCTGTACGTGTTGTTGGATTTTATGATCATCTTCTCCTATGGATGATTCTTTTCAAATGCTGCTGTCTTAATTGGTTTCTCTGTTTTATCTTTACTGATAAATTGTTTATAGGTTTAATTATTTTGTTCTTGAGCTGTTCTCTGGCACTTCTTAATGCAGAGTGTAGGGTATAAGTATTGTTAAATAAAAGTAATTGGTTTCCTATTTCCATTTTCCCTTTTTTCAGTACCAAAAGTTTGTAAACTTGGAGATATTTTCAGTTATTGTTGCACAACTGCTAGGCCTGAGCCTGGGGATGAACTATGATGACAGCAAGAACTGCCATTGTCCAGGACCCATCTGTATCATGAACACTGAAGCAATGTAAGTCTCTTAGGGCCAAACCATATGAAATATGCTCTTTTTAAAACATTGGTAAGTAGCAGCTGATTCAGTTCAGATCATAATCCAATAGGGAGGGGCTGTGGCTCAGTGAAGGAACACCTGTTTTGCTTGCAGAAGGTCCCAGGATCAGTCTCTGGCATCTTCAGTTAAAAAGATTAGGCAGTAAGTGATGCAACAGACCTCTGCCTGAGACTGTTGAGGACCACTGCCAATCAGAGTAGATCAGGGGCCCCTACTCTTGTCAAGCCTGTGAGCACTTTGGGAATTTTGAGAACAGGTCATGGGCACCACATCAAAAGAGCTGCCATGGGGGATAGAACCAGTCATAAAATGGTTGCCAAAGAGGCTGGGTCCGATCACAAAAATGTTGGGAGGCTCCATAAAATGCTATGAGGTTCCAAGCCAAGTATCCTCCTGCAATGGAAGCTGCTGTTTCCAAATAGGTCTTCCCTACAGACACCCAGCCCCACACACATGCTGAGAATCTTCAGAAGCATCTCTTCCATTGAAGTGGATGAAAGCCAGGATTGATTCTTTGCTTCAGGGAAGGCATACTTTGAGGAAAGATCAAGGGAACACCAAGAAATACATTGGCAGGCATCATGGTGTTGGGAATCACTGGAGTAGACAGTACTGAACCTTGAAAGATGAATAGTCTGACTCAGTATAAGGCAGCTTCATGTATTCATATATTCAGTGCTGCCCAGCCTGGAACCACAAGGATATCTGAAGGAACACCTGCTGTATGAGGATGCTCATAATTTGAGCTCATCTTCAGAAGCCCTGCTGTATGTGCCCCAGCTTTCAGAGGTGAAGTGAGCGAGGAACTGAAGTTGCTAAATTGACAATTTTCTAGGCACCGGGCAAAAAACATTATTATTTTCCTCTAGCTTTTCAATTAAGATATCCCCCGTAGAGTTTGTATCGATTGGGCTGCTTTTGTACCTATTCCATGTTGTCAGTTTTTATAGGATTTTACTGCTTCAATGCTTTGTCATGTATTCAGGGTAACTGTTTATTCAGTGTACATTTCATGTTCTTTTGTGCTAATATGATGCTGTTTTGATACTTGGGTCCTTGTTTTTGAAATTTTGTAATATTATTTTTTTGTTATATCTTATTCTGGGTTTTTTTTGGTGAGCTGCCTTTGCAGATACTTTTGTGAGTCGGTGAAGTACAAATATTGCTAAATATAAGTAACAAAATAAATAACTGCTTTTCTCCTGTGCCTGCTTTCTAGCCTTAAAAGCCCTCTCCCCAATCCCAGGACCTGTAGTCAGGAAAATGAAAGGAGGGAAAAGATCAACACCCCCCCACCACAGCTCTGACTCAAATTGGGTCCCCCCTGTGGTTGCTATTTTGTTATTAAAAGACTCGGGGGAGGGGGGGGCTCTGTTCCTGGAACTCTTAGCATTTTGTCAAAATTGGTCCTTAGTCATTTTCTGTAGCATTGAGTAGCTCATATTTAGCAGTCTTGTATGAGCTGCGGTGGCTCAAGTGGTTAAGACGCTGAACTGCAGGCTGTGGAAGGTCAGTAGTTTGGCAGTTCAAGACCCGGGTGCCGCAAGACGGGGTGAGCTCCCGTCTCTAGTTCCAGCTCCTGCCAACCTAGCAGTTCGAAAGCAAGAAATTGCAAGTAGATAAATAGGTACCACTTCGGTGGGAAGGTAACAGCGTTCCGTGCACCTTGGTGTTTAGTCATGCCGGCCACATGACCACGGAAATGTCTTCGGACAGCGCTGGCTCTCCGGCTTTGAAACGGAGATGAGCACCGCAACCCTAGAGTCGGATTCGACTGGCTTTCGAGCAAGGGAACCTTTACTTTATGATTTAAAAGTCCATTTGAAGCTTTACTGGACCTTTGTGTCCATAGGCTGTATGTACCATTGCTGGTATTTACAGTCGAAACTGGATTGGAAGGGTTATTAATTTCCATACCAAATAATACTTGGGATTTACTGAATGGAAGTTTTAAAAAAGTTGAATTAATATCGGAGAATAATGATGGTGTTGGACAGTTTGGAAGGGAGATCACCCCTTTTGGCATGTACGTTTGTTCTGCTTTTGCCTCTGGTAAACAGGTTGCACGGGCTTTTGTATCGTTTGAAGAGCCTGTGGAACCCTGTGGGGCAAAGTCAATGGTGGGTAGGTAAACTGATGCCTCTGTGAAATAATTTTAACTGTCTTAGAAACTATTGAAGAAAGTCACAGTAACCATCAGTGGCAACTCCATGTAAAAGATTTCCTTTCCCTAGCAAATCCTGGGCAGTTCTGTGAAAAGATGGGGATATGGAAGGGATTTAGAATCTCTAAAAGCAGTTTCAGCATACTTGCCTGACTACAGTTCTGTTATGTATTGAGCATGAACTGTACTTGCAAAAGGACTTAGCTTGGGGATGCATAACAATAGCTTGCTAGGATCCTAGAATGGACCAGTAGGGTGACAGGGATCCTAGAGTTGCCCAGTTGGGAAACAATGAAGTGTAAATAGTCTATAGTTGGGAGTGGGGTGTGTTTTGGGTGTAACCTTTTTCAGGCATAAATACCCGGCTTCGGCCAGGGGTTTCTCAGTCTTCTTTCTCTTGCTGAATCACTAATAAACTATGATCACTTGAACGTGTCTGAACCCTGTATATTTCAAGTTCCCAGGATGCTTTGTGGGTAACAGTGCTGATTATACTAGATACATGCAATATAGTTTTACAGTGTAGTTGAGCAGTGTGAATCATATTGAGCCGATGTCTTATTAGTTACACTGGTGGTAGAATGTTGATTTCCAGCAGGGTCTGCATGAAAAACATGTGAATAAAAGGTACGTTTACAGAATCCAAGTTTCAGATTCCCTCAAGTAACCTGCTATTCCCTAGAGTTTCCCCCCAAATCTTCTAAGCCTAGGCTGTATTATGATTGCTAATAGTTCTAGGTTTTCAGTAAGTGTTCACTCTTGTTGAGTTGATATATTTTGGTTATTGTTTGATTTCTTTTACCTTATTTTTTTTTAAATAAATTTCTTATTGCTGTTATACTACACACTACATAGAAATAAAGGATGGGTAAACACTAACAACCTACAGAGGATAGGGCAGTATAGACTAAAAGAAAAGCTAAACAGGAGTTATGTATATTGCTGATAATAAACGCTTATTCAAGTTTCTCATAATATATCATACATAAGTGAAGCTACTTTTCCATTTACAACAAAAATTAAAAGATTAAACTGTGTATTTGCTCTGAGCAAGTTAATATCATATTAAACCCTTCAGATTAGTACATATCAGTTACATTATCTTCTTGCTCTTTCTTCCCTTCTTTTTATCTTTATCAGAGTCAACTTTTGCTTTGGGGAGCTTGGGTGCTGCTTCTCCCAGTTCCGATGGGGAATCTTCTCCAGATAAACTGGTTGTATCAGATCCTGAACTTCTTGAACCACATGAGCTGTATTCTCCTTCTTCTTGATAACTTTTCTCTTTTTCTGTTGGAGTTTTCTTTGGTAGGCCTTGAACCTTCTCCAGAAACCGTTTTGCTTTATCAACAGTCAATCTTTTCTTTTGAATCCTTGTACTTGAATGTTAATCCTTCCGGTAGAAGCCATCTGTAGTTTATTGTAAAAATACAAAGTCTTTATAGTATCTTCACTTCTTTCTAATTTCAAATGGTACATCCTTTAGAACTCTTATTTTCACATCTATGATCTTCAAGTTGTTTCCATTAGTAGCTTTAAGAACCGCGTCTTTTGTAGACTGTTTCGAGAATCTAACCATAATTTCCCCAGGCAGGTTTTTCTTCTTTATAAATTCGGGGTATGATCTATAGACTACATCCAGATCGCTTAATAAATCTTCAAATTTCATACCTATCATTGGGGATAGTGCTTGGGTCAAGATTTCTTTAAGATTCTCACCGCTTTGTTCAGGAACACCTTGGAACCTCAGCACATAGGCTGATTTTTCTGCTTGAAGCCTAAGGATTTTGTAGTTGATCCACTTTTTGATCAAGTGCAGATGTTTTAAAAACAACTTTTTGACTGCATTAGAGTTCTTTAACATCTGCTTTTAAAGCGTTTCAAAGTTTTGGTTGAGATTTGCCATTTGGTCCAGCAGGGGTCGCAATGCTACAGCCAACGTGGCTGAAAAGTCTGTGCTAGCTTCCGGTTTTGAGCCCGGAGATGACGTTTTGCCAGCATCTGGAGGAGGCTTCTTCAGCGCCATTTTTTCTTGTCGACTCATTGTTTACTTTCCCGGGAAGTTTACAAAAGTTCATAAGAAGGGTTGTCGTTGTTCGCTTTATGTAGCAATGTGCTTGCTCGTTCAAATAGCGTTTTTCTGAACT